AAGGTCCTGGGCACCCGTGACAGGACTCAAAACCACTGAGGTTTGAAGTAAACATCAGAAAAAATGAAAGGGAGTTCTGAAAAGAAATCCTATATATCTGAGTCTATTCAGAATGCAGTAACAAAACCCCTTTGACTGGGTTATTTATAAACAATAGAAATCTCTTGTTCACAGCTCAGGAGGTGAAGTCCAAAGTCAAGATGCCAGCAGATTTGTTACCTGGGCTTGTTTCTCAAACGGTATTTCTTTTTTGTGTCCTTTTATAGCAGAAGTGGTGGAAGGGGAGGAAAAAGGGGCAGGAGGTAACTCCCTTCAAACTCTTTTACAAGGACACTTATCCCATTCATTAAGGCTGAACCCCATAACCTAGACACCTCCTAAAGATCTCAACTTCTAAAGGTATCACCTTTTAATACTATTGTCTTGGGGATTAAGTTTCAAAACATGAATTTGGGGGACTATTAAGATCCTGAAAAAATAGTACAGAAAATCTAAATACAACCTTTCCCTATAGTTTTTGTTGGTTGGAACTGTATCAAGGTTCTCCTTGTGTTTAAAGGTCCCATGTTATTCAGGGAAGGGCTGCACTGTGGAGTCCCAATCTAGCCTTTGTTTGTGGAACTTACACATACTTGGAATAGCTTCAGAAACTGTGGCACATGTGGAGCATTGATGTTTTCTGTTAAATGCTGTCAATAAATATCAGGCTCGAAGAGATCAAAGGTAGCAGCATTTCAGCTCCCTCTTAACATTGAAGCTCATACTTCCTGGAGCAGCAAGGCGGTCTGATTTGCTTTTTGCGTCCTAGAAAACTTTTAACATTTAGAAGCTCTTGGGGTGTCTCTAGAATGAATATAGTCATTGGTCCTAAAGGTGTGTGGGGATGGAAATAAGACCTCAGAGACTATTTCAGTGTAAGATCAGTTGCTCTCTTATTACAGATTTCTTTCTATACAAAGAAGATTTATTTATTTAATTTATTTATTTATTTTATTTTATTTTTATGGGTCACATTTATTTGATCATCTTATTTACCTTAGTTGTTTCTCAGTCTCTTCTCCTTTTACTCAAAATTACCTCAGTATATGATCCCATCTAGTCACATGGTTTCAATAATTGCTGATGATACCTAGCTATGTGTTTGACTCCATCAAAATTCACATCTGACCCCTAAATCATTCTACCTGAATGTCTTGCAGTAAAACTAAGCATATCTAAGATAAACACATCATTATTCTCCAAGACATTTGCTGCTGCTTCTTGGGTACTCACTTTTGGTTAAGGACAATTACTGTTAAAAAATCTCTTACACTGTAACTGCTAATTGGTGTAACCACTAAAAGGTCTCTAGAATATCTCTACATTTCCTCTTTCTCGTCAACACTTCCTAGTTTAGGCTGCATTAGTTCTCTGTACTGGTCTCGTATCTGTTTTGTGTGTCTCTTGTGACTTATTTTTCTATCACTCTTATCCCCAAAGTCATAAAGACATTCTATGTTTTGATCTGTAAATGCCAGTTATTATTCTAAAACACAGAATAAAATCAAGTTACTGTCTTATAAAACACCAATGGCTCTTCAATACCTAAGGAAAGAGTCTCTAAATTCTTTGACTTTACTCAATTTTATTCTCTTCTTTTTCCTGTTTGCCTTCCTACTCCCGGACAAGGACTAATCTGCAGGCATCCTGTACTCTTTGAAAACCAAATCCACTCTTTTTATATTGCTCAGCCTGTCCCATCTGCCTGGCATACTGTCCCATATTATTGGTTTGATTATAGCTGTTTAATTAGTTAATAGCTTGATCACATTCGTGTTTTCTGTAAATATTTCCAGTCAGTTAGAATCCCAAATATATTATGCATCAGTTTATTGAAGCTGGGCTCAATTTTTTTTTCCATTTTAAGTAAGTTTTATTTGCTTAATTGAGGTTTAAATTACAGGATACATATAAATAGTAAAATGGTTATACAGTGAAGCAAATTAACATATTTCTCATCTCACATGGTTACTTTTTTGACAAAAGCAAAAATCAACTTATTTCACAACATTTCCAAATGTCTTGCTATGTCTTGTTTATGTGTGTGTATATGTGTATGTGCGTGTCTTGCTAAATTATTAACTCTTTAAGGGCATTGATTGGGATATAAGTATCCTTTCTTCATTAAAACGAGGAAATAACACCAACCCCTTAAGGTGCTAAGTAAAGAACCAAATCAATCAGTACTAGTGTCTATTGTGACCAAACGACATGGGCCCGTTTGCACTCACCTCTACCAGTGGGTCCTGGAGAACTTTTAGTGTTTGTGAGTCACATGTCAAAGCTTATATGAAGGCAAGATCATGAAGGTGGGAAGAACAATGCTGGATCTTGTATCTCGACAGTCACAGGAAGAGTACTTTTCTCTAATTTTTTTTTTTTTGAGACTTTTGCCTTAGGGTGCGTCTCATTGGAGAAACAGAGAGAGAGACAGAGAGACAGAAAACGAGAAATAACCCCACAAGGGGGTATGGCCATGCTGCAATTCATTCTCCTCCAGTCTCCTCTTGGGAGTTTGAGCATGCATGTATATATGCCCAGCATGATTTTTAAGCCACTGAGTCCGGGATTTGAACTGCAGTTGACTGTGTGGGAGTCCATCAATGAAACTGCTATGCCATCTGCTGATCTCGTCTTTTCTCTGATGTTTAATAACAGGGGATAAGCATCACTGTTATCATCTTCACTGCCCTCCTCATCTTCATGCCTTTTTATCATTTACAAAACACTTTGCACAACCTCATCTCCATTGTCACCGAGCTCTTGTAAGGTGAACACTATCATGAACATTATTGGTATTCCTATTTCATGAGAAAACTAAGACTCAGAAAGGTCAGGTCATGTGTGCTGCTGTCTACATAACATGCTGCCTTGAATCTCATGGCAAATGTCACTTGTGTCTTTGCTATCCTCGGAATCCTCTCTTCTCAAGTCCCAACAGCTCACAGGGCTCACTATTTCCTTGGCTTTGCTAACGACTGACCCAACATATCTGATGACCTCAGGCTTTTTGGAACCTCACCTCTTACAAATATGGGTAAGCTCATAATTATATGACAATGTGTTCTCATGTTGGGACCATCTACACTCTAGGTAATTTGGTTTGGCTAGATACTGTTTGTAATAATAAAGTTAATTAAAGTATCCCTAACAGCAAAAACAAACAAACAAACAAACAGACACCTTTTAATAACAAACTCTCCTAAGTATAAACTCTTTAAGATAAGGAATAACCATTTTCTGCTCCCTTTATAATTCACTTGGACATGTCTATTAATATCCCTTCACCGACTGACAAATTCTATTCATCAACAGAAAAAGGCAACGTAAGTGTCTTAATCCCCTGGGCATCTTTTGACACAGAGAACTTACTTAAAAAATAAGTAGCAGGCTGTCTTAAATGTGTCATCAAGCACTCCTCAACACTCCTTTCTTTCTGTTCCTTGCCTGGCATGGTGAACCAAAACAATCATACCACTGTGCTTCAAATATGAGAATACTTTTATGAAACTTAAAGGGATTATTTTGCAATAAGTAGTTTGAATCTTGTGATTGTGAGGAATTTAAACAGTAGAATAATATACATTGGAATAATTAGTGCATTGGGAGAAAATGAAAAGCCAGGGGAAACAGAAATTTTCTCTAAATATTTTTAAAACAATTTATTTTAAAATATAAAATTTTCTCCACCTAA